TACTTAGTAGTTAGTAGTAGTAGTAGTAGTACGTAGTGTAGTGTGTGTGTGTGTGTGTGTGTGTGTGTGTGTGTGTGTGTGTGTGTGTGTGTGTGTGTGTGTGTGTGTGTGTGTGTGTGTGTGTGTGTGTGTGTGTGTGTGTGTGTGTGTGTGTGTGTGTGTGTGTGTGTGTAAACCGCCCCGCCCCCTCACACACAGACGGGGGAGAGAGATCTCTCATCTGGATTGGAAATGTCGAAAATACATCAAAGACGCATTTTGAAGTCTTATTGCATATCAGAAACGGAGTTGGCGAAACTAAAACTGCAATATAATGTTTATGTAGCAATAATACATATGAAATATCTTTTTTTTAAATGTGTCCAGTACCGATAAAAAGACCGATAATGTCGGAGCTTAACGGTACCACTGTCTTTAATAATTCAGCCCCGGGGCCCCTTTAATACCGGGGCTCGATACCCATCCCAAGTTAGCTGTACTGTAGTTATCAAAAACAGGATGCTGCTAACATGGTGTCAATGTGGAAAGAGCACAGCTTAAAAGGAATACGCTTGATTATTGACTAACATAAATACCACTCTTGTGTCTGCATGTTTAACATAAAGTAAGGCAATAGCCAGCAGCTGCTTAGCTAAAGACTGGAAATTGGGAATGTCTGGCCTTTTTTATCCTACCACATATTTGAATTTAATGCGAGATTGGCATGATCTATATTTAGTTCCCCAAATTAGATTTGTATCAAGTCATTTTACACTATGTTCCTTGAAGTCTTGTTATATATATTTTTTAAGTAAAATGATAAAACTACATTTTTAAGCAAACTTCCATGTTTGGAGTTTTTAAAAAAAAAAATACAGTTTTAAAATATCATAGTTTCTCTTGCAGAAACTTGCCTCATCCTTTCTTGTTTCAGGCTAACGACAAAACTTAGAGCTTTCACTTATTCAATAGATATGACTTTGAAAACAAGTTTCAAAAGTGCTGCGGTTGAATTCACATGTCAAATGCTGTTTCTACTGTGACTTATTTTATACTGGTAGACAGTTGCATTAAGTGAAATCAGCTTGCATGTGTTGGTGAAGTCACTGGTCTGGTCTGGATGTCATTAATGCTTGTTTATTAGTGACAGAGAATGTGGTTTAGTAGTGAGAGTGAATTTATATTTTCTGGAACTTTAAGAGGAACAAGAGAGGCGCTACTTAATTATAAAGTGTGTGAAGATGTGAGTAGGACACTTACTGAACGACCCAGTGTTTACTGGTGGAAAAGTCATATTTGGAAGCGTAGATGAAGGGAACTCTGAAATAGAACATCAGATAGAGGACCAGAGGACCGGTGTACTCGGTGAGAAAGACCTGAAGGAAAGAGGGACAGGGTAAGTTTGAGCCTTTTTAACAGTTTAAGTGTAGCCCTAATGTCATAATATTGATATTCTTTTTATTGCTGTGTTAGAAAGATAAATATAGCCGTCCCGCTCCTGGCAGAGCCAATTTAACTATGACACACACACTTTTTTTACCCAGAGGGAAATCTCAATATAGCTCTTCTTGATCCCAGTCTGATGTATGTGGGCTTGTCAGGATTGTTAGATTGTGACAGCACAACATGCCCATGCCCCCGCCCCCCCTGGCCTTTTGGCGGCTCCATGGTGTACTCACTGTGACCCAGCTGATCTGAGCTCCCAGGTCTCTGAAGTAGAAGGTTGCTGTGGTTCCCACAGGTAGTTGCTGCAGGACATCCTCGTCCTTCAGAGACTTCCCCTCTGAAACACAGACAGGATTACTTCAGGAGACATACAGAAAATGAGGACTTGATTACAGAGGGAAGTAATAAGATGTTCCCTTTAAGTATACTGGCAGAAAAAGTACTTCCTGTCTAGTTGTACTAGATAGGAAACTCCATCCCAGGAACTTTTATAGAATTATAATTGTTGTTATAAATAAACCCCATACAGTTTATTTAGAACTCATTAAAGACATGGTTAATAAATACTCTTGTCGGCCTTAAAGGGGCCCAATACAGTGGTGCAGTGACGAGTCCTAAAACCCAGAAGTGAGTTAGCATTTTACCACTACCGGTTCCCTCGTCTCAGAGTCAATGGGATTTCTCCATACAGTAGGATCTTGGAAAATAGCTGGAAATAAGGTCTGTGGTTGACACAAATTTAAGAGACGGATCACGTTTTGTTCTACGGCATTAAATACATCAGCATTGACCCCACTGGTGATTTTTGAAGAGTTTACGTATCTGAAAAACGATGGTTGTTAACAAGTGGCTGAATAGGACTACAGAAGTTGTACGTCATTACACCGAACACGTAAACACTCCCGCTAAGTTTGTTTTCCCTGTTCTGCTTGGAATTAAGTGCCTGCTTCCTGCAAACTGTTAAAACAAAAAGGTTCAACTTGTAACAATTTTAATCTGTATTTTTGAATATCGATCTTAAATTGGCGTGACGTTGAAGCAGCAACCCTGCTGTAGTTCGTTTATAGCATAACGCTAGCATTTTGCTTCTGGCGACTAGATTTATGATTTGATCATTATAAAAGTAGGGTAGACATGTGGAGATTATCCGGCTGAACAAAACGTGCATTTATCAAACAGGTTCGTTCTCCACAGACCTTATTTCGAGCTATTTTCCAAAATCCTATGGAGAAATCCCATTGCTTTTTTGTCGAGGGAACCCATGCGCAGCTTACTTCCGGGTAAATACGTCATCCCTGGATCATTCTATTGTTCTTTTTGGGGTTTTCCATTTCCTGTAGTGTGTTATATAGGTTTGTGTGCATGCAAATGGTCTGCAAAGGCTAAAATCCCTCCCCTCCCTCCCTCCCCCCCACACACCCATGTTTACATAGTGACATCACTATGTAACATTGGCTCTTTTATTGGCTAGCGCTCCAACGCATTGTACGTGATATGCTAAGGGGAAGGACAGCACTAAGCGGTTGACTAATCACAACACAGCCGGTCAGCTAACCAATCAGAGCAGACTGGGCTCTGGTTTCAGACAGAGGGTGAAAAGAGGTGCTGCAGCACAGGCAGTATGGCATTAACCCTTAAATGAACAACAAATATTTAAACAATAGTAAGTCACTCTTTGGCTGACTTACTGGCATCAAGGCGAATGGACTGTCGGGTTGGGTACCACTGAGGATCTGAAACAGACAATAATATGTCACAAACATCTTTAGACAGGACATACATTTTTTATTTTAGCTTGATGTTAAATCAGATTTATGAGGCTTTAGTCGCCTGCAGAGAGACGGCACTCACGGCTCTTGTGGAACATAGACTTGATCTCTCCGATAGTGGCATTTGGCTCGACCTGCAAATAGGGTATCAGCAAATCAGTAAATTAGTAGAGGGACACGTACACAAAAGGAACAGATAATAACCCTGTTTTCCATTCATGAAGGGGGTAAATTTAGCTTCCATACCCTGCGGATGTGGTTCATTTAACAGCTGGTATTATGGTTTCAAAGCACACACACATCCACAGCCAAAGTACACGACCTTGTGCCAGGCTGCCAGAAATTGCCCAACTACCCCAAATATAAACCCAATGACTTCAAAACGGAAACATGAAGAGCTCACAGAGGCAGATCCGTTGTCACAGTTGTTACGGGATGTTCTGAGGACATCAACACATTCCGAACATGTGATCAAATGGCAAATCTGTTTGATTTGAGCAGCTTTCACACTTCATTCTGCTGCCAGAGCCCCCTCTTGTGGAGTAGTAAAATTGTTAAAAAGAAAGAGTAACATCGCTTACTCCTATTGGTTTATTTAAAATGTTGTCTGAGCCCTAGGATCTGCTATAATACTGAGCGCTTTAGTTTAAAAGGCAACAATACGTGTACACTAGAGCTTTAACAAATGTTTATTATTTATATATTTTTTGAATTATATTTATTTCTGGGTCCGAAAAATGTCATACAATTATTTAAAAAATGGCCACCAATGTTTTAAAAAGAGCAAATAAGACTGGCAAAGCAAATACCAGTGTTTTTGCACACTACACATGTAAGTACTGACTAAATATGAATTATAAATATAACTGGATGTCTGTATGCTGTTATCGTTTGATATAATTGGTTTTTATTACTGTGCTGTTTCACCAATTATGCTCGCATTTAATTTGAAACACATTTGACTTCCCTAACCCATATGAAATGTGCTCCATAAATCAAGATTGGCACCTTAAGCATTAATATTTATATTTGTAAATGACAACTTTTCTGACTGATAACCATTCATTCATTTAAGATTATTAAACAAACTTGCTTAACACAGGTGCATATTAACCCTATTTTCATTTTTTGTCCTATATTCAGTATACAGAGAGTTATTAAACTTGTAAGACATTTTGTATTGGTATGAAAACAAACTCAGCAATGCACATTACATCCTAATAACATCTCAGGCATCCGCTTCAAATTTCTGTCAGGCCTCTGACATTTAGGAAGCTGGTGACAGGTTTCTCTAAACATTTTAGCAGTAGGCCTATATTACCCTGCTGGCCATGCCTCACTGTGCTAAGACGCTTCTGTGAAATGTAAACCTCTATGCGGCCCGTCACATTGACCAAGCAAAGGTGTGAAGACCAACACTAGAAAATATAAAATGATGTACTAATTTAAAATTTGATTGCAAATCATCAGGCCTTTAAAGAGCTGAACCACAAGGACACGGTTCAATTACATGTCAATGTTTGTCAGAGACCACTTAACGTACTATTAACCTGTGGCCAAGACACTATCAGATTACCAAGGCAAGCACTGTTCAGTATAGACAGTGTGGTAGGTAGGGATGGGTATTGTTAGGATTTTATCGATACCGATACTGCTTATCGATACCGGTATTTTTCGATACTATTTATCGATAGTTTTAAATAATTTGGTGCTCAAAATTATAGACATGATTACAAGATGTGAAGATTAAACAACAGTCATTTTATTGTAATTTATTTGTATTTATTATTTAATGTAACTTTTTCAATGTCATACCAAGCAGGTATGAGTGTGTTTGACAGTGTGTCTCTGGAAGGGTGGCGGTAATTAGGGGCAGTTCATAAATCCATGTAAACATGACCATTATTCAGTTAAAACGAGACGCTGCGTGCGCACCTCCTAAACCGGAAGCTCCGGTCGGCTAACCATTATAATCCGTTTATTGCGTTTATTATTTATAATTGTAATTATGGATTATCAGTAATCATTTTCAGCACGATGACATCACTGAGAAACCACCTCGATGTGACCCTTGCCCCCACCACCTCCCTCTCTTTCAACAGGCTTCATTCAGTATTGAGATCACTGGGAGCGTCCTAAACTCTGACCCAGACATGATACAGGATTTGAGTTTTATTTCTAACTCAGTCTGTTAGTTCAGCGCCGTTAGCCTACTTTAGGAAACCAGTCCCATCGCGGGGCTCTCTGCCCAGATCCTGATCTATATCTGTCAGACTTTCTCTCCTAAAGGTGTTAATATTGTGCATGGTATCACCATGGGAACTCTGCTAAGCCGACAACAGGGTATAATCCAAGAAGGATAGCCCTTTATACTTGGTGGTCTTGAAGAGCAGCTTTTGAGCCTGGCAGACTAACACCACTGTAAACTTGGCTAAGTCGCACACCAACAGCACACTAAACCCTCCTAATGCAGCAGCACTGACTTACAGGCAATGTGCAAGGTACTGTAAATATACCCACTAAAACAATGAGCTAAAACATCCTATCAAAATAAAAGGTGAGTAATACAACACTGATACACTCAAATCCAGACTAAGTCCATCAGTCTGAGTCTAAATACGTTATTGTGTATCATCTTTAAAAACATTTGACATGACATTTACACGACATGACAAGAACACGGTACAGCCCCAATGAAAGCCGAGAGCTTCCAGTCTCAACAAATTCTCTCTAGTACTTCTATGAAGGTCCTCTGAGTCTAAGCTGCTTCCAAAAACAAACTTTTTGGAGTCAACAATAGGTTATGTGCAGACTATCTTCCTTTTTCCAGATATGTGCTGCATTTTTCATGCCCATGTAAAGGGATTGATTCTTTGCCCAAAACATACATTTGCTCAGCATTTTGACCAAGTCTTACTTTCCATTTTCATAGAAATACCTTCCTTGTTATATGCACCTTAATATGTAAAGACTACATCTGTCTTCAAATTAAATCAATTTTTCTTTTTGGGCACCAGGCATCTGTCTAACAGTGTAGAGGGGTGTCTTGGGACTCACAAGTTGTAGAGCAGTTATTTTATTGGTGTAACTTCTGACATCAAGTAGGCTGTTGTGTTGGTTTGCACAGCTGTACAGTTGTTTATGCCATGTTGTTTACCAATGTGATGTGTGTGCACAGATAACCGCACACAGACAGCAGGGTTGTGTTGCGTTGGGACTGTAGTCTCATTTACACACACACACTGACAGACAGCGAGGTCTAAAGCAGCTCAACTATGTTCTAGAAAGCGCCTGACTCACATACACCAACGCTTTTTACTGTAATATAATGTGGGGGCAGAAATACGGCACCTCTTGCATTAGGAAACACACAAAACAGCTACATACAGCTGTAAAATACTTTTTGCAGAGCTGATGTTAGAACAGAAATCCAATGAAAACAAACACATACAAAAAAAAGTTCTCACCTTGTCCAGGAAGCAGAGCTTGTCCTTGGTCTTGGCATCCAGTATCTCCACCTCAAAGAAAACAACAGCTTTTTTAGTTTTTTTAGCAGGTTTGCGTTTGGCTGGGGCTGGAGCCGGCACACCGTTAGCTGGCTTTTTAGTGCTGGTAGCCTCTAGTGCTAGGGCATCCATGTCCACAGTGCTCCTCCTGCACTCGCTTTATTCCCTTCTTCCTCGCGGTTCTCTTGTCACTCTTCACCTCTCAACTGTCTCTCCACGCCAGACCATAGAGAGCAGCAGCACTCAGCTGTGGAAATAAATCTGTCTCTACCCTGCTTCTCCACCCCCTACCTCCTCTCTGCCATTCTTTCACAGTCCCTCCCTCTTTGCCCCACGCTCATTCCTTCACTTCTGCTGTGTTGCTTTATTTAACTGCTAGCGTGGACATATGTCACATGTGTGTGTGCACAGTTGCATACACAGGAATGCCCAGTATCCCCCTGGAAAACTATCAGCAGTACATCATCTGTGTGTCAAGAAGGAAGCTTCTAGAGACAGAGCTATGTTTCCAGTGACTCGGTTTCGAAACATAACTCGTCCCTAAAAAAAGGTCACCTGACGACCCGTGAAACCTCTCAACCCCTGGTTGAGTGGTAAGATGGTGGAGAGGTATTATGACGAACAGCAACACCCCTTTCCCAGTTTGTCCCCACTCTTCCTCTCCCCAGCTAAATATAAACGTCTACTGCTAACTCTGCATGACCAACCCTTTCCCCAAGGACCCCCACCCGTCTACGACTATGTGATGATGTCATGGGCTAATGGTTTAAGACCCTCTGCAGTTCTGTCCATCTGTCCATCTACAGCCACGATGCACATCACCAACCTTTGATCAGACACCTAAATGCAGCACTCTCAAGGTCTCTGACACACACTGACTGCTACAGTGTTTTGTACCTTCAAACTAAACGAAGTAGCCAGTCACTCACACAGGGAGTCACCTTTTCCTACCACCAACGGGGGATAATACTCGAGACTCTGAGGGCTTGGTTGGGGCATTCCCTTTGGAGAAGCCCACCCAACACCCACCCTTCCAGTCTCTTATGACCAACAGTAAGTATTCAGTTACCATAAGAAATGTAAGACTTAGCCACAAGGGGCAGCATGGGAGTTAAGTCCAGACATTTATCTATGGAAACTTTCAATTTGCATAAAAGCCCACCTTTGCCTCCCTCAACTTTGATCAAAGAAATAAATGTATATAGGTTTTTTTCTTTTTTAAAACATAGCTATCTGATGATTTTGTGTCGTGCCATTTTACATCATGGCATAATATATGTATTTACTTGTTCAAGATAAGCATTTACTTATTTATGTGAACACTAGCCATTCTAAAACTCAAATCAGTGTTATTTGTAATGGATTTACGGCCCTGACAAACAAGCTGCCTGTGTGACAAGGTAAACATTCATGTCTTCCTAAATCAAGCAAGAAACCTGACACTGCAGTTAGGACTTCTGAGAAAGACCCCCATCTCAGTCTTCCCGGTGCCAGGCATACCCACTGCCACTGAACCTCCCCCATCTCATCTATATAAAGCTACTAGTAGTGAGTCAGTCCTAATGCTCTTTGGGGTGAGGGTGAAGCAGGGAGAAATAACCTTTAATTACTACAGCGGACTGTTGCTGTTCTTCGCTGGTTCGCTTGATATCCCAAGGTAAGAAGACACTTTTGAAATCTAGAAATATAAGGCCTTCGTCTTTAAACAGATTAGCAAACCATCTGGAAATGTTAATATGCTCCAAAAGTTTTTTGTTAGCAGATACTAATATCCGTGTGTAGGAAAGAGAGATCATTTTGGAAGTCATGCCGCCTCGTAACTTGGGTACTATCTGGTGACTGTCAATCTATTTTATGACTCAAGTGAAAATAAATGTCCCAAGATATTGTGAATTTAAAAAAGAAAAAAATGCAGTAGTTTTAGTTTGTCAAATAATGTGTGTTAGGCTTTAAATTGATCCGTTGTGCCATGTAAAGCATGCAATTTACAAAACCTAAACAGTGATCACTATTATGATTGAATCAATTAACTTTTTTTTTTTAGAAGACTTCTAAGGTATACATAGAGGAAATATTAAACTCAAAGAGCACCTGCATGAACATGTGCACTGGTTATGGTGTCAGTAAGAGTTCACAACTAGCAGGGACCACATTTTATGACTTCAGTTAGCATACCCGTTGAAGATAATGCTCTTAGCACTTACCTGAGTGACATACTGGGTGGTTTAGTCGCAATACTGGCACCTTATAGGCCTGAATATCACACAGTGGCCTCACACAAACATGTGCAGGCTTATTTTATGCAGTTAGTCCTGGGCATGCATAGTTATACCTGTTGTAGCTTATGTTGCAATAATGACCATTCACTGTCTTATCATGCAGTTTCAACAGCCATGGCCATAAAAAAGTGAGTCAAGCTAATATATTACAGGTTTCAGGGGTGGCCCATTTTTACATATGGCCATAAAATCGGTCAGTCCAAATAAATATTGACACAATGTTTTTTTGGGGAAAAAAGCCTTCATGATTGTAATGTTGTTGCCCCCCCTTACAGGTTGCAACAGCCATACTGTCTTCAACAGGAAGAAGGGGAACAGGAGCAGCCACTGGTTGGGTCAGTTTCTGTCAGACTCCTGCAGATCCTGTCTGACGGGTTTTGGTGCTCATGAAACTCCTTTTCATGACTTTTATGAAAGCTTTTAGTGATTGCAAGTGTTTACTGGTTAAGTATAGCAAACATTTTACCTTGATGATAACATAGTGGAACAGCCCTGTGGTAAAAGTGTGGTTGTTTCTGAGAGACAAACATTGTTACTTTTTTACCCTTTCCAAGTGACTTTCTGTCATCCACTTAGGTCTGACTTCAGCGTCAAACAACATATTACACTGAAGCCTTGAAGATTTATTTCAAGTTTAAGTTTGCGCACTTGACTGTTCACTTGCATTATTGGGTAATAACAAGATACGAAGCGTCATGCGCCGTTCCAGCCAGAGATGGCGATGATGTGGAGTTTTATCCTGAACAGAGGTCTCTGTGTTTAGCTAACAAAGACATCCAGCATATATCCTAAAACATGATAAATATGCAACGAAAATATAATTCGGCATTACTGTGGAGGCAGAAGGTCGACTTTGAGGTACGATATAAGCCGATATATATGCCATGCACCGATAGGCCACAAATCACCGTTCCTAGCAACCAGCCCATGACAGGCGGCGTCGCTGCATTGTGTGATCCTCGCTGCACATGTTTAAAGCTATAAAGTGCCTGTTTTGGTGGAGTTTACTTTAACAGAAATCACAGCCACATTTCGTATTGGTCTGATGATTACATTATGGCTCCATTTAGGGGTTTCAAGTTTTAAAATCACTTCTTACCTCGTAGTGCTTCATCTTGGCAGCTTGCACCCCCTTCCTCAATATCCCAGATGATTGACAGAGCCGCCCTCCACTCAGCGAAGTAACGTGCAACTGCTGGACCATAGTAGGCGGGACCTACGTTGGTTTTGCAGCAAATCAAAACCAGCAACATTCACGCCATTACATTATCACGTACACTATCAGCAACGTAGCCAATGAGATTTGAGCAAACGAAAAGGTCGCTGCTAACATAATTGGATTTATCCATCGAGTTTAGGACTAATTTCTTTTTGAGAAGCAGCTCTGTCCGTCTGTGCGCAGGTGGAGCAGACTGGAGATTGAACCACCTTCCTTAAACTAAATGCATGTCGTCTTTAGTTTAATTGTATCTCTCTTTTCTACTTGTTTTTTTTTTACTCTTTGTGACAAGTAACAAGTTAATTTTCCCTAAGGGTAATCAATTAAGTTCTTATTTTAATGTTTGCAATTGCTTTTGCCTTATATCAAATCTGTATTTGCATTATACTGTATAAAGGAATATATGTGTACAGTGTGTTTTCCTTGTGTTTTTAATTGCCCTAAATTAATAAAGTTTGCCATTTGTCCGGTATGTTTTCACTTAATATTCTCAAACCCAAGGCAACATTAAATAGAAAGGTACATTTCAAAAACATGATTTTCTTGTACACCTGCAAAAAACACACTGAGGACAAAACGACCACACATCACTGTGAAATGTAAAAACACAAAGCATAACAGTTATCTGTGAAGCCATTTAACCTGCAGTGATTTTTTTAATTCAAACTGATACGCCCCTCTTATCCTTGAAAACCCGGGAGGGAGTGGTGCTAGTGGAGCCTCGCAGCAGCGATACCCGCATAACCGCATAGGTGCACACAGGCATAACAAGATTGCTGCCAGCAATGTAGTCAACGTTTCATTTTGGTATGGAAGGGGTTCAGTGAGGGGAGTATTTTTAAGGCTTACATAGCAAGTATTCATTCCATGATATCTCTGCTTGGGACATGATTTGTGATATGATCTGCCATGTCAGTCATTTTCACAGAATAATGTACATGTAAGCATGGAATTATTGATTTACTTTATTTGAGTAATTCCATTGTATGATATTTATACCCAACGTCTGTAAGAAAATAATTGTACTTTTGACAATTATTAGATGTTTATAGCTACTTTTTAGATTAGGATTTTAAACTAAAAGCAACTGATCAATTTATAATAAACAACACATTGTTAAAGATTGAACATGTTTGCTCATCACACTGACAGGGTGTGGTGGGGAATTGAAATCATACAAAAGAAAGTTGTACCAGACTTGTTGGTGTATCTAGTATTACCAACAGGATATTATTAATGTGTGGGATTTTGGGTATCACTACACTGTATTAAAGTGAAGTTATGAAATATGCTACATTAAATCACCCAAATTGTGCAAAAAAAAATCTTTCTGCAGGCTACTTTGTAGACGGTCTCTTGTTTTGAGTTTTGGGTTCCCCAAGTTCGGATCCCTCAGTATCTTTCCAATGTATCAGAACCAGTTTAGTGAGACTGATAAGGCATGGTATGTTAGTGTGTGACAATATTTCCGACAGCCCTTGAAGGCAGCACGTCGTGACGTCGCGGTGGGCGTGTCGGGGAGACTTGAGAGCTCGAGCTGTTTATGGAAAACTCTAGAAGTTTCCACGAGGTTTATAAAGAAAATACCCGGGACCCAGGGTTCTCAGAAGCTACAGAGCACCGACTGAGGACGGACTATAAACAGCTATAACGTTTATAAACAGGCCACTGGATGGTCAAAATGGGTAAAGACTACTACGAAATTTTGGGAATTAAAAAGGGAGCGTCGGAGGACGATATAAAGAAAGCTTATCGTAAGCAGGCTTTGCGCTTTCATCCAGACAAAAACAAGTCGCCAAATGCCGAGGACAAATTCAAAGAAATCGCCGAAGCTTACGACGTTTTGAGCGACCCGAACAAAAAGGACATTTACGATCGTTTTGGTGAAGAAGGTAAGATTTCACATAGGAATCATTAGCCTGTGAGAATGGGGATAACCAACTGATTACAGGCCTTCAGTAGAGGCTGGTTGTGAGGCACACAGGAAAACCACCAAGACATGTTTCTACAAGACCAGGTTAAAGAAGTATAACTGAAATTATGTGAACGTGAGTTGAGAAGGGCAACTTAATGTTGTTGACGTCAGGATGGGGCGGGGCTTAGCGTAGCAGCGTGCTCTTGTATTTGGATCAGATTTGGATGTTTGAACGGTGTTGTCAGGGGCGCTTTATAGAAACGAGAGGTGGGGCAGTGATTGACATGTACTGAAATACTTCAGTGACTAGTAATACCTGTTAAATAACTTTAGTACATTTAGGAAATACGTGATGATAAAAACAACACATTTGTAATTGAATGGAAATCTTATAAGAAACCCTTTTTTTAAAAGCTCTGCATCTATTCACTGGAGATGTAATGGCTCCCCTGATGTGTAACCATGGCAACATCATAATTTGGATCAACAAATGTCGGGTTACATGGATATCATGTTTTCCCCCCCTGGGATAACAATGTTTGTTTGCATCAAAGACATAATGTGAACATTTAAAATAACTACTCATTTAATGGCAACACTAAAAATGTATTTAATGGAAATTATGTTTATCAAGGGAAACTCTTCAATGCATTCAAGCTAAGGATATTTCCAAATACGGAACCTGACAAGTAATACTTCTGCACACAGCTTGAAAACAACGACAGGCGCTGTAGAATGTTGTAAGTTTGTGTCACATTTTTTATGGTGGTGTCCGTACACAAGAAAGATAGATCTTTCAGGGTTTTATCCGACATTTACAAGGTCTACATATCCACTTATTCTTACTTTGTGAGGCAATTGTTATGCACAGAATCGATTGCAAATTCCAAAAGACACCCATGCTAATAGTGAATAGAACTTTAAAAGTAACATTGAGGGACTTTTGTATTGTGTGTTTGTTAGTTTTATTGATAGAGCACCTCACAGTAAAATATGCTGCCTGTGTTGCCATTTAAAATGGAAAATGTGTTGCTGTTGCCATGACTTCTTAGCCTCTCCAATTCATTTATCAAAATGCTTTGCCCTTTACTTTGTAGCTTGCCTGCACAATCAAAACTGAGAAAGGAAAAAAAGCAATATGAAAAGCTATAACTAACAAGAACAATGTGGGGAAATACCATAACCTATAACATGAATGATGCTATAATGACTCTTGAAATACATAATTTATAATACCATTAGAGTGAATTAAGTCGTTTTGGTGATACATTACTTTTTGTGGTTTCTCTCACTCAGGTCTGAAAGGCGGAGGAGCACCAGCTGGTGGTGGTGGTGGAAGTGCTGGGCCTGGCAACTTCAGCTACTCCTTCCAGGGCGACCCCCATGTCATTTTTTCAGATTTCTTCGGTGGACGTAACCCCTTCGATCAGTTCTTTGGTGCCCGCAATGGAGGCCCAGATGAGGACATGGACACTGAAGACCCTTTTGCCCGCTTCGGGATGGGGGGCGGTGGGATGGGCGGGTTCCCTCGCTCCTTCAGCTCTGGCATGGGAGGGATGGGACCTCACAGTAGCATTGTAAAGAAGCCTCAGGACCCCCCCGTGGTTCACGATCTCTGGGTTGCGATGGAGGATGTGTTGTCAGGTTGCACAAAGAAAATGAAAATCTCCCGTAAAAGGCTGAACCCAGACGGGCGAACAGTAAGGAAAGAGGATAAAATCCTGGAGGTGCAGATAAAGAAGGGGTGGAAAGAGGGCACTAAAATCACATTTCCCAAAGAGGGGGACCAGACCCCCACAAACATTCCAGCCGACGTGGTTTTCGTGGTCAAGGACAAGGCCCATCGGGTATTCAAACGTGAGGGCTCGGACATCGTTTATACAGCAAAGATTTCACTAAGAGATGTAAGTTTACATATAAGATAGCTTTTTTGTCACTTGTGTGATTTGCATACATATAATGACGTTTCCTGATCTTAAATCATGTTTTATTTCTCCCTTTATTTCCATCAGGCCTTGTGTGGCTGCACAGTCAACGCACCCACACTGGACGGCAGAACGGTGACCGTGTCAACAACAGATATTGTGCAGCCAGGGATGAAGAGACGCGTGAGCGGCGAGGGGCTGCCTTATCCCAAACGCCCCGACCGTCGAGGCGACCTGTTAGTAGAGTACGAGGTCAAGTTCCCAGAAAGGCTCAGCCAGAGCGCCCGGGACACCGTCGCTCAGGTCCTCCCGCGATCCTAAACCACACCAACGGACATCTGGGACTTTAGGATTATCACACTAAGCTGCCAACTATTTTGTCAGTCATTCATGTGCCGTTACAAATCACTTCACAAAAGTAAAGACAGATTTGTGAGATACAATTGTGAACGCTGTCAAACATAGTATGAGAAACCACCTTCGGAAAATGCTAACCATAAATGACTGCAGCATTTCAAACAATACCATGTAAATATGACCAATATTGTTTGCTGTTTGGTTTACTGAATAAGATTATATTTTGATGAAAAAACAAACATTATAACATGTACAGCATATGAGGACAGTTCTAGTTCTGTTTAAATAGTTTTGTTGGTATCAAAGGTTCTCCACTGGAAAAATGTTGTATGAAATTGCAACATAAAGATTGAATTGTTTTTATAAATTCAACTCATGTAAAGTTGATGGAGAAAATAAAATGTTGTCTGGCCTGAGAAACCTTCACTTCATGGAAAGAATGTTAATGCTAATGTTTATTAGCATTGCAGCTCACACAGTAAAAACAACAACTCTACATTCATGTGTTGATTGACTGACTTTCCCAGAATCCTTATGAAAGATCAATCCCCTGCAGCCACTGCTGACACATGAGCGCAACGATGAAGGTCTGAAAACATCATTTATTTTAAGTTTTCACTTTCTTGCAAAGGGCCACCCGCAGGACCAGGGTGTTGCTCTTTATTTCTGCAGGGGCTAAAAAAGGAAGTTTACCTTAAGCTTAAACTGTATAGTCATGTTTAAGCCTCAATTATAGAAAACCATATCTGACTAAGGTATTGCTAAGTCTTCCTCTCTTTATAAACTCAATATTGACTTTCACATTTCTACTGGATGTCTCCCACAGATCTCTCCATATTTAACCATATTTTAAGCTGGAACACTTCAATCACTTAATGTTTCATGTCTAAAATAAATACTTTTTTGGAAATACTCTTGTTCCCTTTCCCGCCAATAGTGAGATGAGAAGATAAATACTTTTCTCATATCTGAATTAAAGAAAGAAGATCTATCTAGCGAGATTTAAAGATACTTAAAACATGTGTTTTGGACCAAGCTAGTTTCCCCCTACCTGTTTCAGTCTCTACGCTAAGCTAGAAGAGCAGGCTACTTGCACATTTGCACTGAATGGATAGATATAAGCAGTTATAAAATAGACCAGAAGGACAATATACGTAATTTCCAAAATGTCAAGCGATTGCATTAAAAAAAAAATCTCAGAATTTGAGTAGATACATGTGAAAACACCAATCTTGTGTTATTCTGCATGTTAATGTCAGACATCTAAGCAACAACTAACACAAATGTATGTTTTCTTACTGGATTGAGACTTTAAATAGTCCAGGTTTTGTGATAAATAAAACCCTGTCACAGCTAACTTTATCAATTTATTATTTCATAGAAAAACATTGGAACTGTTTTAATCCTTTCTTAAAACAAAACATGAAATTTAGCCCTTCTCACACATCATTTTTATACAGTCCCGAGACTTCGCTGAGTGGCTCGTGTAAGGACACGCTAACCCTAATAAAAGGCCTAAGTGGAGCGAAAGGTTTCTGTGGCAACTTAAAGGTCAGAAGTTAGTCAGAAATACTTAATTTTTCCTGGGGGAAATTGGGTTTAGTGCAGTTGCCCTGTTTTGGAATTAGATAATATTATATTAAAATATGAAAAAGATATTAATATAAAAATAACTTATAAGATGTAATAAAATTGAAATGTGCACATTGTACTACAGTTCAACCTGATGTACCCTGATGGTGAAGTGGCCCTCGGGCTCTGATACCCGTGACACAGTCAACAGACAGCTTTATGACTTTGATGCCCTCCAGCTTCATGTGCACTGAGGCAGCAGGGCCAGCATCCAGAGCCGAACAATACATATAAAGACTGAAAACAGTTCATATGTATCACTGTTATGGGCTGGTCCTGCAGAGAGATGGGGGGCTGGAGAACTACAGTCAACTGTATAATCTCTGTTGTCAAAAAAATGTTGTCAAGAGGCATGTTCAATTGAGAGAGACAGCTGCACAATCACAGCCTTGTAGCTGATCACCAAGACAATCACTTTTGTATGACACTGAATCAGATGACTACACTTTGAAGCGGACCACTGCTTATTTTCTCTGTCAGCTGGAAAAAAACGTTTTTAACCTTAAGCAAGAATGAGGATTCTTCATCTTGTAATTTTTTGCTGCATCTTGGGTGAGTTTTTTTCAAACCATCCGAATATTTTTATTTCTAAAGGTTACATTGTGAATTGGTTATAAATGTACTTGTTAATAAGGTGTACATTTATTGATGAGCTTCTTCTAATGCACTGGTAATGTTCAGTATAGTCAGTGGTGGATCGTAACATAAACCTGAGTTCTGTCAGTATTGTTTTATGCTACTTCATACTTCTACTTCACTACATTCTGGAAGCCAATACTTTTTAACTTCACCACATTTATTGGAAGCTACTTTTGAGATTTAGATTATTATTTCAACAAAGTATCAATCAATCTATAAATGAACTTTGACATATTATTTAATATGTATGCAGCAGCTTTATAAAAAGCACTTAAAATAAGCCCTTCATTTACCAATTATTACAAACAAACTAGGACATCAAAAATCACAATCCAGAAATTAAGAATATACAATTCTGAAATGATCCATTACGAAATAGAAGAAATACTTTTGGTACCTCAAGTATAGATAAATAAGATTTTGAAAGCAATACAATTTAGTATACTTTTACTGGTAAAAAATCTGAGTACTTCTTCCACCACTGGGTATAGATTTTAAAATTGGTCTTTTTTTTAAAAATAATTTAGTTTGAACACCATTTAAATATTTCTATCATAACTCAAACTTGCTTGCAAATAAACCTTCACAACCAAAAAGTGAAAGTCTACTGAATTAAAGTATGATATTGTATTTAAGATATTGAATCCGAGTTTTTTGTAATAGTAGAAGTAAGAATGTCTACAGATCTTCGATTAACAATGAGAAACTAAATATGTCAAATAAATGTAGTGAAGTAAAAATTACAACAATTGCCAACAAAATGTAATAAAGTACAAGTATAAAGTAGCATAATGTGAAAATACTCAAGCAAAGTACAAGTACCTCATTTTGTACTTATGTACGGTTACATTACCCCACTGAATGACATTATATAAAAACACGAACGTGTTAAGCCACAATTCAAATCAACCAAAAAAGGTGAAGCTGTAAAGTTATCAAGCAGATTATGCTATTGTGTTTATTTATGTTAATAAGCTGCCTGGTCAAGCAATTTAATTTCATCCAACTGCAGTTGTGTAGATATCACCATCATGTAACAAAGGCCCTTTGTTCCATAATGCAGGTGTGTGTGCTAAGGCTTCAGGAGTGCTGGAGGTGAGCGGCCATGTTGGAGGAGAGGTCTCCATCCTCTGTTCTGGCACCACCACCAACAGCTCTGAACTCTCCAACATGTACTTCTGCAAAGGAGACTGCGCCAGAGAAAACATCCTGATTCAAACTGAGAAGAAGAGTTTGGCTATCACGCGACGAGGAAGATACAGCATGGAGGTCAGCAGAGGGGATGGAGCCTTCAACGTGACCATAAAGATGCTGGAGAGGGCCGACACAGGGACATATCAATGCAGACTGGAGGAAACGTATAGAGTGTTGCACCAGGAGGTCAATCTCAAAGTCGAAGATGGTACGTTCCTGGGTAGATGCATACAAAAAGTTAGCAAATTGCTTGAGAGAGCCGGGCTTTTTCGTAAAACAATGGATGTCATTCATCCTCCTCATGCAAATCATTTTAGCACAGTCACACTTAGCCAAAAAAGTCCCTGAAGCGAAAAGGTCATGGTACCTTAGATCAAACAACCTCTGTGACAAAATCATTTGAAACCTGAAGCTGTTGTTGCATTCAAGAAATACAGAGGCTGTGGAGTGGAGGAAACGTATAACATTTTTTCACCAGAGGGTCACCCTCAGAGTGGCATGATGGTAATTTTATGGATTAATGCATAAAGGTTCCCGCAGGCAATGAGGCACTTTGGGGCGTTACTGATGCACTATTTATCTTCTAGTCAGGAGTGGTTATTTTTGTATGAAACAAAGGTCACAGTGTACGCTTTTTCATTATAATATGACACGGTCATGTTGAACCAAAACCTATAAATATAACTGATTCTGACTGCAGAATAAAACCAACCAAACTGTATGTGGAAAATGATTATTATATGTACTGCAGGTGTAAAGCTTAAAGGTTATAATACCATGTATACATTACATTGTTTTATTTTTAAAAACTGATCCGAGTGAACATATGTGTTTGTGTGTCCATGTGGGTGTGGAGCCCTTATAATAAGTGTTAATAGTTCATAATCATTAGACATTATTTTGAAAGCTCACACTAATTTCTTAGTTTATTTAATGTGCTAGTGCTGCTAACATGTAAATTAACATTCTTTATGCAATTTTTATAATGATATTATAATAATGAAATAATAACAACAATAATAATAACAATAATAATAAATATAATAATAATAATAATAATAATAATAATAATAATAATAATATTAATAATAATAATATTGTGATGCTGTGAAATTGATTATACTGTGAAATTCTCCGGACGTTGCAACCCTTCCTGTGATGTATCACGAGTTCACAATATTTCTTGCCAGTCATCCTTCATCCTGTTCTCCCGCAGCCTCCACTGTTCCGGTCGGATCCCCTCCCTCCACCACCACCCCCTCTCTGCAGACTGAAGCACAAGCTCTGCCCCTACGCAGCTCTGCATCCAGCACTGAAGCATCAACGCTGCCGACTACAGAGACAAACCAGCCAGCAGCCACCAAACTAAAAGGTATATTTAACAGTCACTGTTAGCAGCTGTTCTCCTGTTGCAGGCCTCAAAGCAGCGGATACCTTATTGGTCAGTTTGGATAACAACTTAAGTCACCTTGCACTCCAAACTGTGTTTTCTTTGTGTAACTTCACTTGGATGGAGTCACCCAACTAGACATTTTTGGTTCTAAAAACATTCTGAGAATGTTACAGTCATTGTTCTAGGAAGGTTTTCAGCGGGAAGTTTTTGTTTGGTTCTCAGAACGTTCTTCTGAAAGGTAGGATAACGCTCTCTAAAAACATTCTTAAAATGTTTGGTGATAACCTTCTTAAAATGTTTTTGAAAACATTGTTAGAACATTATGCCCTACTATTCTCAAAACGTTTTCAGCAGAAGCTTTTATTTTGGTTCCCAGAATGTTCTTCTGAAAGGTAGGATAACGTTCTCTAAAAACATTCTTAAAATGTTTTTGATAACATTGTTAGAACATTATGCCGTACTGTTCTTAAAACATTTTCAGCTGCAAGTTAGATTTTTTATGTTGCCAGAATGTTATTATTTTAGAGAAGGATAACATGGTTTATGTTAAAGAAATTATGCAAATGGTCTATGGTAACAATTTACTAAAATATGTTTACATTATTTTAACATGAAGATATAATATTCCTGTAATTGTTCAACTCAAAATTCCTGGGTAAGTGGACTGACCACTGTGGTCATTAGGATGATTATTATTGTTTACTTAACTATTGGAATTTGACTATTAACACATGTAAAAGACTGACACAGAATCAGTTGGTGAAAGTAACATTTGTTTATTACAAAAGG